ATTAAATTCATATTGTTCTATTGAGCCAAAAAACATAGGTGAAGGTGCCGCCTTAGTGGGTCCTATTCAAAAGAAGAAAACCTTAGGCATGAAACATTTAAAATTTTCTTCCCTCACGCCTTCCTTCCCTTCTTCCTTTGCACCCATCAAACTCTTATCGTCTTCTCTCTCTCTTCTTATTTTTATTCTATTTCGAATTATTCATTGATTAGGTATTAATTATAATTGACTACAAATTTCAACTATTTTCTTTCCCTTTCTAATAATCATGAGACTATATTGTTTGGATTGTAATTATTAGAAATAAACACATTTAATTACTATAAAATTACGCAAATTATCATATTTATTCTTAAAATATTTTTGTGTAAAACGTTGTGATAATTAAATTAGTCTATTATAGAGATTAAACTCTATTTTTTTTTTGTATATACTTATAGAAGTATTTTATTATTAAAGAAATTATTACAAATAATGTCGGTTAATTCCGTCGATAATACCGCCGGATATTCCCGACAGTTATCCTGCGGTGTTCTCGTTGGCAAAATCTGGCGGCTTGATCGACGGTAAACTTAGGCGGCCAAACCACCGGATGGTCCACAGGAAATTTCTAGCGGATATTCTAGGTCAACCGCTGGACTAACCACAAACAAAAAATTCCTACTAGAAATGAGCCACCGGTTCTCGTTTCCTACGCGGCTTTTACTAGTGGAAAATTATCCACCGAAAAGTGATCGGAAAACTTAATTTCCGCCGGAAAAATCCATCACCAGAAAAATCTATCGATAATGGACGATTTTCTAATCAGCTGTCAACACAAACAAAATTCGCACGTAATAATTTTACTTATTATTGAATTGGGTAGGTGAGGAAGAGAGAACAAATCTTTTTTCTTGATTAGTTGGTTTCAAGGATTAAAGGTATCGAAATAGGATGCTCTTTTGGGGAGATGGATTAATTCTATATGCCTATTTGTAAGCATGAAAACAACCCCCCTAAGTTGATGCTATAATCTATCCAAGTGGGAGGGAGTGGCCTTTGCCTTATCCATTGACATTTGAAAGAATCACATGCATGCCACTTACTAATTCTTGTGAATTTATTAAAAATCAATATCTTTTTATTTTTATTTTTATTTCTCTCATCAAATTTTCCTCAACACTTTTTGTTGTGATGGGAAATTGGGAATCTCATTACCTCCAATTTAGTTAATTACAAATATATCCTATCTATGTATTGTATACTTCCATTGCATATTACGCTTTATCTTATTATGTTATTCTTCATTTGAAATATTTTCTTATGGATGTTAAATATTTAAATCTTTTTTCTACTTTAATTTTTTATTTTATGCAATTTTTTTTTTTGACAAAATGATTAATTTTTAGGAATGCGATACAATAATGATTATTATTTTTTCATCATCATATTTTAATCAATTAGAAAATTAATAATTTGATAAGAATTTGACTTTTTTTTTTATTATTACTTTTTTTTACTATATTTCACATGCTAATTTGGAAGAACTTAATAACTTCTAGATGGGTGGATTTTTCATAGTACAAATGGGAGAATTTTTAATGGATAGGTATGAAATGAAAAACAGATTAGTTAGAAATTTTATGAGGACAAATAAATAGCTAGATATCTAAAGCAAAAGCCAGCTATAATTCAACATGCACATCTCTTGTTCCTTATGCAAATTCTAAAACTCTGGTCATTTTCACATTGTAATGTTGCACTGTAATTTCAAATATAAATCATATAGATTATTCTTTTTAGTAGATATGTTAAGCTTATATGAAGTTTTAAAGAGTCAAAAATAATTCCTAGACTTTGTTGGCCCTTTTTTTAATAAAAAAAAAAAATTAAAATTATATGTATATGTCAATTTTTTAAAATAATTATTTCTCTAATTTTTATTTGATAATGATGTTACAAATTCAACATAATATTATTATTGCATTAGATTAAATTCAAATAAAAGCAACCAATTAAACTATTAAAATCTTTATAATTATGTGCAAATAAACTTGGCAAAAAAAATTTAAAAACTTAAACATAATCATCATTAAATTGTTTCTTGACAATTCTCTGATCTAGATTTCGATTATGTCAATTTAGGTTTATTTTCTAAATTTGTCAAATCTCGTAACAATTTCAGCAATTCGAGTTGATCGGATCTAAACAACATAACACCGGCTCGCTTTAAGGGATAGTAGTGGGTTGATGAGCTTTTTTCATCAACATCATTGATTAGCCCCTTTAGTCAACACTTACTTCTTTTCCACTCATGCTCGATGCCAAAGATGGTGCCTATGAATCGATGCATGAGATATTCCATTCTCATTTAGAGAATTTGATGCTAATGCTTAACATCCACTGACTTCATAGTCCACCATCACCAATAATGTTAATATATGTCATTACATATAAGGCTAATGTATGTCGTTAGCATAAATAATGATGCTCATTGACTTCATAACGTGCCATTGCTTGCAACATCGATGTATGTCATCACATATATAGCATATACATGTCATCAACTCAAATGCCAAACCCCATCAACTATGTTGCTCGTCATCACCAGTAATGCCAACATATGTCATCATCTATATGACTGATACATGACGACATCATCAATTTGTCATCAGTTATTGCCACGAATACCGATGCATGCCACTGCCTATAAGGATGATGCATGTCATCAACATAAATGATTATGTTCATCTCCACTAACACGTTGGCATGCCACCACATATAAAATTGATGCATGTTATTAACACTAACGCATGTGGCCCCAAATTTCATCAAATGCCATGGCCAACAAAATCCATGCATGCATCGCCAATACACACTATCGACAACAATTTTGACCTCCACATCAACATCAAGATTTATACTTTAACTTCTTGGTCTCTAATCTCATCTCTTCAAAAGAGAACAATCGAATATGTCGTAAATAATCTATTGAAGTTAACTCTAAAACATCAAACCTCCTTTAACTCTCATCATGAAATCCAACCTTAACCTTTCTTTTACTAATAGTATCAATAATTTCACAAATTAAGAAAAAGGACAGGATTTGAAATCTGAGATATGCACTAATGAAACTATTTAAATTAGCACAAGCATCCTTATTTTATCTTCCTAAAATTTCACACAAAATTAATAACTCTTATGAAATCTTCTTTTATTTATGTGCAATGAATCTTCCAATAATACTATGATGCTAAAATTTCTTATTCTAGTATCCCTAATATTTTGATTATTTGGATGTAGCATTAATCACAAAATTTATATAATAATTATAAAGCACATATTTATATAATTTATATCAACATATTTTTGAAATTATTTTTTTCTATATATTTATTTTTTAAAAATAATAAATATGTAATTATTAAATTATATATGGAGTGGATGATTATACTCGCATTATTCGCATATTTGATTTAATAATTTTTTAGTGGGAAGGAGAGAATAAGAAGGCCGGTATTGGACATTCGGAAAGTTTTACGCCGATAGCACTTTTTCGACGCGCGTTGAACCGGCGTAAATATTTTCGTCGGAAATCCGCCGGAAATCCTAATTTCCGGCGGATTTTAGTCATTTTCTGACGAAAAATGGACGCCGGAAATTGCGATTTTTCCTGTAGTGAATGGTGGTTGATCAAGACTGTCGACGAATCCTTTCACTATGGATGCCTGGGGCGTCACAAGTAGTGGGTTGATGAGCTTTTATCATCAACATCATTGATTAGCCCCTTTAGTCAACACTTACTTCTTTTCCACTCATGCTCGATGCAAAAGATGGTGCCTATGAATCGATGCATGAGATATTCCATTCTTATTTAGAGAATTTGATGCTAATGCTTAACACCCACTGACTTCATCGTCCACCATCACCAATAATGTTAATATATGTCATTACATATAAGGCTAATGTATGTCGTCAGCATAAATAATGATGCTCATTGACTTCATAACGTGCCATTGCTTGCAACATCGATGTATGTCATCAAGACATCACATATATAGCATATACATGTCATCAACTCAAATGCCAATCCCCATCAACTATATTGCTCGTCATCACCAATAATGCCAACATATGTCATCATCTATATGGTTGATACATGACGACACCATCAATTTTTTCATCAGTTATTTCCACGAATATCGATGCATGTCACTGCCTATAAGGATGATGCATGTCATCGACATAAATGATTATGTCCATCTCCACTGACACGTTGGCACGCCACCACATATAAAATTGATGCATGTTATTGACACTAACGCATGTGGACCCAATTTCATGAAATGTCATGGCCAACAAAATCCATGCATGCATCGCCAATACACACTATCGACAACAATTTTGACCTCCAACATCAACATCAAGATTTATACTTTAACTTCTTGGTCTATAATCTCATATCTTCAAAGGAGAACGATCGAATATATCGTAAATAATCTCTTGAAGTTAACTCTAAAACATCAAACCTCTTTTAACTCTCATCATGAAATTCATACTCACCCTTTGATTTCTACTAATAGTATCAATAATTTCACAAATTAAGAAAAAGGACAGCATTTGAAACCTGAGATATAACTAATGGAACTATTTAAATTAACACAAGCATCCTTTATTTTATCTTCCTAAAATTTCACACAATTAATATCTCTTATGAAATCTTCTTTTATTTATGTGCAATGAATCTTCCAATAATGCTAAGATGCTAAAATATCTTATTTTAGCATCCCTAATATTTTGATTATTTGGATGTAGCATTAATCACAAAATTTATATAATAATTATAAAGCACATATTTATATAATTTATATCAACATATTTTTGAAATTATTTTAAATTATTTTTTTCTATATATTTATTTTTTTAAAATAATAAATATGTAATTATTAAATTATATATGGAGTGGATGATTATACTCACATTATTCGCATATTTGATTTAATAATTTTTTAGTGGGAAGGAGAGAATAAGAAGGCCGGTATTGGACATTCGTTTGTTTGGAGCGCCTATCTCTCTCTTCCCTGCGTCGCGCCCACGAGTCTCTCTCTCTTATCGATGAGCGTGCGAGCGGGTACACGAAGCGAGGAAGAGGAGATCGCTGTGTAAAAGAAGCTTTCGTTTGCCCTCCTTGGCCCTTGCCCCTTAATACTCTCTCTCTCTCTCTCCTTCTTTATTCTTCTACTTTGCTTCCTTCCCTTCTCTCTCTCTAAGCGGAATACAGGCAATGGCCGTGCAAGCGCAGTACCCTGCTAATGTTCTGCTACTCGACAGGTACTTCTTCCGTGACAAGTTATTGGAATTGCTTGCGCTCTCTTCTTCTTCTTTTCCTGGTAGCTTTTCTATTCTTTTTTGCTGATTTATCAATTCTGAGATCGCGCAGAGCCGAGACCGACAGAAGCAACGAGGATATGGACTTCACTCCACCTTCCTTTCTCGATCAATCCCCTGTGTTCTTCTCTTCCAATGGAGGTATTCAGGCTTCAGCTCAATCCCCCCTCGGTTTTCTCTGCATTCTCTTTGTTTGTTGATAGGAGATGATTGGTGCAGGCAATGCGAATCCTAGGAAGAGGGGAAGAGAGGCGGCCTCAGCGGCAATCGGCGTGCCGATGGTGTTTTCTATACCGCCGGCTGCGGTGCAGCCTCCAACGGCAGTGATCGGTCTTTCTCAGCCACGTTCTCCGGTGCCGCCTCATACGGTGGTCTCCACCGGTCTCCGCCTTGCGTTGGATGAACAAAATCAGAGACAGCAATCGGATTCTCTCCTCTCTGCCTTCGTTTCAGAAGAGCTTGCCGCGCAGATGAATCAACAGAAGGATGAAATCGAACAGTTCTTGCTTGCTCAGGTACCATAGCATGTTTGCCCCTTTCCATTCCACTCACGATGAGATGATGATATAGAGATTTGGGTTTTTTTTCCCTCTCAATCAACAGCGAGAACAGCTCAGGCGAGCATTGGTCGCTCGGCGGCATCATCACTACCGCGCACTACTCGTGGCGGCGGAAAAATCTGTCATCAAGAGGCTACGTGAAAAAGAGGCGGAAGTCGAGCTTGCCTCTCGCCGGAGCGCGGAGCTCGAGGATCGACTCACCCGACTCCGATCCGAGTCCATGGCGTGGCAATCCAAGGCAATGGCCGAGCAGGCGACGGTAGCTTCGCTCCACGCTCAGCTCCAGCGCGCCGCTGCAGCTGCAGCTGCAGCGGCCACGGCCCGCGAGGATTGTTATGGCGAGTCTCCGGCGGACGACGCTGAATCGGTTTACGTCGACCCAGAAAGAGCAGAAGCTCCGTGGCACGCGTGCCGTGCCTGCCTCCGGCGACCGGCGTCGATGGTTTTAATCCCTTGCCGTCATCTCTGCCTCTGTCCCGCATGCGACTTCGCCGCCGCCGGCGAGGGGTGTCCTATATGCGGCGCCGTCCGCACCGGAAGCGTCCAAGTCTTCCTCACTTAATATTAAAATTATAAATTCAAAAAAAAGGGGAAAGTAAGAAATATCTGTCCTGTTTTGGTATTTCTCGCCTTTTTTTTCATCTACTGGAAAACAAAAAGAAGATATTCAAATTATATGTAAAAATACACAAATTCTTTTATTTTGTTAAATTTGAAGGAGAGGCATCTTACCGTTTAAAGCTCGTTTCATCATTTCCCGGCATTTTTTCCGGGAAGCATAGTGTGGGGTCCAAACACGTGAGGTGAGAGGAAGGTATGGCTCACCGCCACGGCGTATCCCGTCGTCTGTACAACGCGGCGCGATTAGCCATTTCGTGGGGCCCTCTTGTTGCCGTTCGATTGTCATCGTACGGCTGAGACGTGGTGGTGGGCAGCACGAGGACGGGAGGTGCGGCTTTCACCTTTATATGTCGTTCGGTAGTTGGGGAGATGAATTACGGTCATGGATAGCACGTGACACCGTTTGTTTTATGGGCTGGGCCGAGATATCAGCCATTTTCTTCCAGGGTGTTTGGGCTTTGCGAAAAGGAAGATATTTATTATAATTATATAAAGCATGATAAAATAATTTTAAAATATATAAAAAAATTAGTGAACTTAATGATAATATTTATGCAAAATATAATTAATAATTCATGGACCATGCAACAAAAATGAATGAAGGGTAAGATTCATAATGCAAATTTTAAATAATTAAAGAAAAATAATGATGATTTGATTGGTTATTATAATTCATAATTAAAATCAATAAAGTATTTTTCTCTCTCATTAAATAAAATTTCACAATTACCAATGCCAATAAGAAATTTTACAATAATTTTAAATTTCCTATTCTCCATGTCTAAAATACAGAAGGATTGAAGGCTTGTAGTTATTGTGTAATAGCTAGCAAAATAATTTAATTTTTATAAAAAAATTACAAAAATTTTTAGTTCATGCTGCCTGCAATAATGTTGTTGGACAAAAGTTTTTATGTAACATTTAGTAATATTTGAAGAGAATAATATTACTATAGAGTGATAGAGAGGAAAATTGAGAGGAATATTTAAAATAATATTTATTATATACACATGTAACATGTGAGCATCATCAAGTATTTTACTTTAATAACTTTAATAAATAAATAAAAATTCCAACTTGTTAAAAACTTAGGAAGGCACACAATGCTAAAATGGTGGCCTACCAAAGTTTGGGAGATGCTTGCAAGCATTTAATTTTGGAGACAAAGGAAATAGGTTATCAACTCTTTAATTTGTATGCATAGTTTGGCTTTTGCTTGTATCATCAAAACTTTAGTGGGTTTTGATATCAACCTAACCGGTTCAGGCCGCTTAATTTTTTTTTTTTTAAGTTTTGTTTGAGATGGCTTTCTTGAAATTTTTTAAAATATTTTTTTAGTAAAAAATTAAAATTTTATATTAAAAAGCTATTTTAAGAAGTAATTTATAACAAAATCATAATATGACAATATTTTTTTTTTAATTTTAGGATTTAGTGGAGTTTGAGATATTAGAGAGTAATTTGTAACGAATCTATCAATCACAAAATTAAAAATACATGCAAAAAATGATGCATTGTCATTAGCTCTTATATTGAATGTGTCCATTAGGTCTCATGCAATATTCATAAATTTTGTATTAAAATAAATAAAAAAATTATTAAATTTATTTTAAAATTATTATTATACATGAAGAGTTCATAATGTACTAGCATCAAATAAATCTAATGATCTTTAACCCACTATGATAGAAATTCTATTAGATTATTCCATTTTTTTTTCATAATTATCATTTGTTTAGATAAAGAATATGAATTGTTGCAGTGATGAATAAACTTTTCTATATTTATTTATTTCAGCCCCATATGATAATAGTATGTTTAAGTAGCAGCTTTAAAACAAGTTAAATAGTCGAGTTCAGATTTATAACTCCATAACTATAGATTTTAAGTTAATTGACCAAAAATAAGAAGACCATACCAATAAATAAAAATATTTTTTTAAAAAAATTACTTGTTTTTTTTTTTTTAAGGCAAACTAAAAATCCATTTCAAGATAAAAATACAATAGAAGACCCCCAAAGGGGCCATATCCATGGGAATACAATCAATGAAAAACAACAGCAGAGAAACAAAATTAGAGTTGGATAAGCAAAAAGGGCAAATTGCGTACTCAGACCGACACCTAGTTGCCAGGGAGGGGCTATCCAAGGAGGTCTTACAAAACATCCAAAACGAGAAGCAACCAAAAAACGAGCCATTAAGGTTGCCAACCAACCCTGACCATCCAAGGCGCAGCAGCAAAGTTACTTCCTCATCGTCCATACCTTTAAAACTAGCATCGCAAACCAGAATCAAAGCAAACTTCCATCATTACTTCTTGGTTATACATTTACGATGCCTCCCAGAATTATCGAGCGAGCCCGTTTCCAAGTTACTAACAATAAAATCTTCCCTACTATCCACTGCCATGTCATCATACAACAAATCACATTGCCATCGAACAGAATTTCTAGCAACATGGGTTAATAAATTAGCATTTGAAATGACAGAAACAGACACATCCACCAATTGCGTCACAACACATGCCTCCTCGACAGCAGCCAAAACTTCCTCACCATTATCAGCTAAAGAGGCTGAATTATCACAAGAGAAATCCACACCACCAATAGGACTATCAATAAGATTAACAGAACAATTTATGTCATTCACAGACACAATGGCATGGTGCACATTCGGAGAAACAACACCAATCACATCACCATAAACCACCAAATCCCCAATATTACAAGCATCAGGGGAGAATTCGGGGTTAGCAACACCCACAACACTGACATTAACAGACTGGATAGGAAAATCCAACACAGCATTCAAATCGAGCAAAACAACAGGAGAAAGAGGAGTAACAGGAGAAACCTCAGCATGAGAACGCACAGAAAAACCAACCGGATCAACACCTTGGACCCGAATACCCATCAGAGACAAAGACTGACCCGCATGATAAGAAATAACTAAATCACCACGAATAGACTCAAGCTCAACAGGATCACAAACAACATCAGCTAAAGCAACGATACCATTATTCGACATAGCAGGACCCGCAGAAGGCAAAGAAACAAGTAAATCACTAACTTGACCAGCTGGAGCCAAAAAATTACCCTTAACAGACTGCTTAGCAACATGAGAAACAACCTCCTCCAGAACACGAGGCAAAGGGGGATGAAGAAGTGGGCATTCAAGCTTCGAATGGTCCAAAGACTTACAGTGAGAGCAATAGAATGGAAAATGCTCCATAACAACCGTTTGGATATAACCCAAGAACTCGGAGCCAACCCAAACCTTATTAGGAAAGACTTTGGTAACATCAAATTCCACCAACACACGCGCTATCGACGACCTCCTACCAGAGGAGGTAGCCTGGTCAATTTATAGGGGTATATCGAACATGGAACCGAGTCCATGGAGAATCCTAGGGGCAAAGAGATGCGGTCTTAGAATAGGAAAAGAAATCCAAATAGGGATAATGGGTGATTCAGAATCAACATCAATGGTAGGAAACCATTTGAAAAGTTTCGTGAAACAATTGTTCATAAAATATGAGCGAGGGGAAAAAACACGGCAGTAGTTCAAATCATTCACAAGCTTCACAAGAACATTGCTTAGGGTTAAGGACAGTGACCGAGAATTGACTGTTGAGCTTGAGATTAAAGAAAAAATTGTGAATAGACTCAAGTGAAGACCTATGAGATGAAAATTTACCAACAAGCGCAAACTCGAAGGGGGCTGCAAGAGCCAGAACTTCCTCATCCAAAATCCACAGCGACGACATCCCACGAAAAGATGAAATTTTTAGGTCTGGAAAATTAGAGCTTGAAGAAGAAGAACCCGATAAAGCCTCTCGAAAAGACCGAGAAGAGGGATTGCTCACCAAGAAATTGGGATTTTGAAGATGTTTGCACTCCATCGAAAAGTGAACAAAAAACAACGGAAATCATAAGATATTAGGGCACGAAACTTCCCTGAGAAGCGCGGAGAGGGACGCAACGACGAAGGGAGCAGCGCCATCCAGAAACCCTAGCATAGCACATCTTTCTACTTGCGTGTTAAATGGGTTTTCAGGTTTGGAGGTTTATTTTGTCAATTAATTTTGGGTCAAAATTAGGTTTGCAGGTTAATTCAAACCCTACCTATCAATTAAATGGGTTATAGTTCTAAACCTGAATCCATCTAATGGTTAAACGGGTTAACTCAAATTCACATTTTTTTTTTTTGGGTCTGATCATTTATTAAAACGCCTATGTTTAATTGTTATTTAATATAACTAGGTATTCTTATATTCAGAATAATTTGATCAATATATATATGTATATATGATTTTTTTATGAATTTTTAAACATTTTTTCACAAATAAATTTTAATATTTTTTTTTAATGGAGAAATATATTAATAAAACAAAACAAAGGTTGCATCAGCAAAAAAAGGAAAAGCTAGCAGAAAAAAATACTAAACAACAGAGAGAATTAGAAGATAAAAGCGAGCTCAGGAAATAGTCAAGACTTCCAGCGTCCAGGTCGTCCCGCACGGACCCTCCAGTAAGCGAAGAAATCATCCCAGCGATCCAACCCGAGAAACCACACCTACGGTTGCCACCAGCAAAGAACGACCAGGACGCGATCCCCGACCACATCATTGCTCATAGCCTCCCATAGCAGCAAATCAAACAGTAAATCCGACAAATCCCGAGAAGAAACAGCAAAAAACAACAAAATTACTACACGAAAATTCATCTTCTGCGCCGACCTCTCCCCCAAAATTTTCCGCGATTGCCAACATTAGAGGTACGCACAAGAGTAAAATCATGGTCGGACTCAAGAGAGTGCGAATCCGAATCCACATCCGACAAATCAACCAACCAATTATTCTGATTCCTAATATCCAAACCAGATGAATTACCCACACAATTAGCCATCACTTGGGTTGATTCCTAATATCCGAATCCACATCCGACCAACAAATAAATTTTAATATATCAATTAAAAATACCAATTTAAAAAACATTTCTAACTAAACCATTAGCAATCAAAGAAGTCTTGGTCTTTGCTCTAAAAGAAGTTGTGTATAAATCTAATCCAACTGCTTGTCTTATCCAAATTTTCTTCTAAAGTTCTGATCATTAATTGAA